CCAGCCTCTGAAGTTGCGGGTCAACGCCTCTGCGCGCTCAGCCGCCGCTGTTCGGCTGTTAGAGGCACGCTGAACGCCGCCCGATTTTGTATACTTGAACCGCCTTCTTGCGATGCAAGCTTGGTCAAAAGATTTTTTACGGTGCTGGGTATCGAACCCGGGACCCTGCAGTCGGGACCCGACGCCTCTGCGATCTCGGCCACCCCAACCCATGGACGACGTTGTGCGAAGGGGAGCATTCGAAGCCACTGGTCAGAACAGTATATTCAGACAAAAATAGAGCGGGTAGCTAGTATTCGATCGCTCGATCCGAGTATAGGATTCAGAGATCTCAACACCTTCGGCCACCGTGGCTCACAGGGTGAGACGAGTGGCGCAACGGGTCCTAACCGCATTGGGAAAGCCACTCCTAAAATGTAATGAATTGCTGGGAGTCGAACCCTAGCCCCTGCGCGTGATCATGGTTTCCTCGGGATGCCACAGTGTGGAGCCAGCAGTGGGACCCTATGTGACTCACTTTCCAGAATCAGGGGCGGCTGAGCGCGCAGAGGCGTCGACCCGCACCTGCAGGGGCTAGGGTTCGACTCCCGACAATTCTTTTCATTTTGGGAGTGACTTTCCGATCCGGCTTGGATCCGTCGTCGCGCCACTCGGCTCCCCCGGTGAGCCGCGGTGGCCGAACGTGTAGAGATGTTTCAATCCTACACGCGGATCGAGCGATCGAACACCAGCGTCCCGCTCTTTTTGTCTGACTATACGGTTCGGACCAGCGGCTTCAAAGGCTCCCCTTCGCACAGCGTCACACATGGGCCTCGGTGGCCGAGAGCGCAGAGGCGTCGGTTCGCAACTGCGGTGTCCGGGGTTCGATACCTAGTACGATATCGAACATTTTGACCAAGCTTGCATCGCAAGAAGGCGGTTCAAGTATACAAAATCGGCCGGCGTCCAGTGTGCCTCTCATAGCCCAGTGGTTCCGCTGCTGGGCAGGGTGACGCAGACTCCTGAGTACCAGTAGCATGGCCCCTGAGTGGGAAGGGGGCCGGGAACGAAACCCGACTACTGGGAAAGGTGGCAGCCTGGCCTACTATGAGAGGACTCCTCCACATCACAGATGACGTGACCAATGACGGGGCCACTGCGGTTTAACTCTGAGGTTGCTCCTGTGATGAGATGGGGGAACCACTGGTCCACCAAGCCAGCGGGGAAGAGGGCCGGTTCGCCGGGGTGCCCTCTTTCGCTGAAATTTTCTTTATAGTGTTCATTTTACTTCTGTTACTCTGAATACATTTTGTGTTAAAATGTCTTTGGATTGTCCTGCATCCAGTCTTGATTGACAAAGAGAGTGAGCCGCGGGTGTTTAGATCAATTGACCGCCGCCAAATCGCTCTCTAGCTGCAGCCTGACCGCGTGGCGGTGTGAGTGGGTCGGACAAAATGGAGGTCGGACAAAATTTTCAGCCGATCCACGGGCAAGTGAAATTTGGACAGGTTGGACGTCGGACAAACGACATACACCCCGCCATGGGGGCCATAGCGCACGCGTGGAAACGGTCAGGCTGAGGCAGCGGTTGAGGCTAGAGGTTGAGGAAGAGGTTGACGCGTTGGTTGACGTTGAAGCTGACGATGAGGCTGGGGCTGATGTTGGGGTCGAGGCTGATGTTGTTGAGGCTGATGCTGAGGTTGAGGCTGAGGTCTTTGAGAGGTTGTTGAAGCTGATGCTGAGGTTGAGGCTGAGGTCTTTGAGAGGTTGTTGAAGCTGATGCTGAGGTTGAGGCTGAGGTCTTTGAGAGGTTGTTGAAGCTGATGCTGAGGTTGAGGCTGAGGTCTTTGAGAGGTTGTTGAAGCTGATGCTGAGGTTGAGGCTGAGACTGAGGTTGTTGAGGCTGAGGGCGTGCTCTTGTCGGGGCGGCGCGACGATGCCGAAAAACACAAAACACTCACCTTGCTGCTGTCCGCCCGACACACCTATATCCGGCGCCTCGCACCGAGGCACTTCCGGTGGCTCGCGCTTCAATGGGCAAACGCCCCCCCCCCCCCCCCACACACACACAAGTAGCCGCACACTCTCGTGGTGGCCAAGTGCAATGGTTTCCGCGTCATTTTTATGGATTTGTGAGTGTTTTTTTCTGCCGCCGCCGTCCATGTCCCGTAACCGTACGAGCGTTGTCGTGGCCGTCCAGGGCCCTTGGCGGCCTGGCGGCCATTGGCGCGGCTTGCCCTAGAATCCCAGAATCCGGCCTTGGTCCGAAGGGCTCGGTGCGCGCACGCCCGCGGCACTGGCTGTGGCCTCGCGAGGCTCGCGTGTCGTTGCGCTGGTCAGGGCGCGGCGGCATGACATGACTCACTCCCTGTCTCTCTCGCACCCGCAGGGAACGCCCCGCGAGTGCGAGAGAGACGCCACCGACTCGCGAGTACGGCGAGTGCTACGTGCGAGAGCGCGCCGTTTAGACACGTCCGGATGTTTCCATTCATTCCTCCATTCGTCATTCACGAACGGAACACTGGCCAGTGCCTCGCCGCGCTGTCTCTCTCGCACCCGCTCGGGCCGCTCAGCGCGTGCGAGAGAGACGGAGAATGCGACCGCCGAGGAGCGGCCTCGCGAGGGAGGCCGCTTTTCTCGCGACGGAAGCGCAGCGGGGCGCAGCGGGGCCCCTCCGTGGAATGCGCCTTCCCGAGGTGTTTTTATTCAATAAATGGAGCGCGGTTTGCATGCCTGCCTGCTTGCCTGGCTGCCTGGCTGTCTGCCTGACTGCCTAGCTGCCTGCCTGGCTGCCTGCCTGGCGGCCGTTACGGTGTCGCGTGCTTCCGCTAATGCTGTTTGGACTTGGCACCGCGTCTCGCCCCGCGATGACTGCATTGGTGGTGCACTGCGAGGGACGCCCGCTGCGCCGACACACCGTCTGCAGGGCATAGCGCTGTTAAAACAACAACAAAAACACGAAAATTAGAACCAAAACAACAAAAGTATGAGGATAAGGACGAGGCTTGTCATTTATCGGCACTTGACCTGTTTGTTTTGAACGCTGCTGGAAACGCGCCGGCCGCGCCCACCCCGGTCGCTCCGGCTCGCCTCCGGTTCCTCCGGCTCGTCCGGCTCGGCTCGGTTCGGTTCGGTCCGGTCCGGCTCGGCTCGGTTCGGCTCGGCTCGGCTGGGCACGCAGGACGACATTCGCACGCACGCATTGCGGGACGCGACGGGACGCGGTGCGCATTCCTTGGGTAAAGCACATCGGCGTGCTGGCGGCAAATTAACGGTAAAGTGCATTCGCACTGCATTCGCGGCAGAACCCTTCTGGTTGCCCTGAACGGGGCGCCCCGGCCGTACAGGGGGCCCTGGGCAGTGGCCAACAGGCACAGCGGACTGATTCCGAGACTCGCTTTCGTCGCTCTGTCTCCCTGGCACACATAGGGCGTCCCGCACTGGTGCGAGAGAGACAGAGCGACGAAAACGACCCTCAGTCTGCAGGACAGCGAGCTGGCCTGGCTGGCAACCAGCCCCGGCAGCCACGGCCCACGGCCGCCGTGTCTCCCAGGCCGACGCGACGGGAGTAAGGCCCAGCGGATTTCGACGTCACTCAGGGAAAAGCGGCTGAGAAAAATGGGGACACTTTTGGGATTCGAACCTATGACCCTGCCCTGCACTCCCCGAATAACTAACTCCCGGTCCGTCGAGGCGGCGGCGTCGTCAGCAGACTGACTCCGAGAGTCGTCGCTCTGTCCCTCTTGCCTCTTGCCCCACGAGTGCGAGAGAGACAGAGCGACGGACCAGTGTACGAACGCGGGGTGCCGGAGGACGGCGTCGAGCGCATTGTCCTGGATACGTCGTGGACGCGCACCCTGCCGCCGCCGCCGCCGCCGCCGCCCCGGGGCCCAAGTCGGCGCGGGGTTCCGCCGAAGTGCCGCCGAGGGCGTTTCGATGTATCGATACTGGTTTTGCGGTCAGTCGCGATAGCGGTCGCGGAGCGTGGCGGAGCGGCAGACTGATTCCGAACAGTGCCGCGTCGCTCTGCCTCTCTCGCGCCTCGACGGCACACCCCCATGAGTGCGAGAGAGACGGAGCGAGTCCGGTCTTTGAAATTCATTTCGCACAGATCCCCTTTCGCGTTTCGCGCCAAAAAAGATAGTCTGAATATGTGGGTCGTTCCCCTTGCAAATTTTGCGGCGTGTTTCGTTCTAGTCGGTTCTAGTAAAGAGCCCCCCCGT